GCCGTGCCCTGACTTAGATCAGTCCAAAGGCTGTACCAGTCCAGACCTAGCCGATCCCCATTTTAAATTGCCTTATTTTTGTTGTTTTTAAATCAGATACAACGAAGAAGACAAACAGCTCGAAAAGCAAAAAGACGACATTGGTAAGTACTAGACAACTGAATTTCTTTTTGTTTTATTTATTCTAAGCTCATATTTCATTTAAGAATAGAAATCCTGCGGGATAAGTTTTTTAAAATTAAAAATGACAGGTTGTCAAGCGAATAAGAAAATCCTTGATATTAATTTGAATTTTAAGCATTCCAACATTTAAATTTTAAAAGTTCTTAAAATTAATTAAATTAATTACGATTAATCAATTAAATTAATATTTTAATTCTAAAAGTTTGATAAAAGGTACTTTTTGGAATACATAGAGGATATTACATGGGCGCGCGGAGATACGAAATTTATCTTCGAGTGTTGAAAAGATCTCTCACGAGTGAGCGATTTTCAACACGAGAAGATAAAATTCCTATCTCCAAGTGACCATGTAATATTCTGTTTATTATATAATTATCAATGAAGTATGTTTTGGCTTTTTCAGGCAATTCTTTCCGTGTATTTTTGAATAGCCATCGCAATGGTTATTTTCACGTGTGAAGATATCAATTTTTCGAAATAGAGAAAAATAGATATTTCATTGGTAATTATATAATGAAATTTAATAAAAAAAACTAGTTGTAGAAGACGACGTTTCGCTTTCATCTCGACAACATCTCAGGTGTTTTACAGTTTTCATTAGACCTGATGATGTTGTCGAGATGACGGCGAAACGTTGTCTCTTACAACTAGTTTTCTTATTAAATCCTAGAAGTACTTGAAATTTCTCATGCAATGAGAACGCAKCATTTGATGATAGACCAACTAGTTGGATTTGACTAATGTGTTAGCTATAAATCTTAAATAATCTTTAATAATTAGATACATATCCTATATTAAATATTAGATATCAATATTTGTTTATCACAAGGAATCAACCGTCCAGACATTATTAAACACGCTACAGCGGCAGACAAAGAAGCTAAAAAAGTATCTGAAGCTGTGAAAAACGCCCCGGCGACTATCAAGAAACAATCAATGTTTGGGTGCTGTATCTTGTTGTGAGAATCAAGGTCTATTTGTCATTAATAATCAATAATTGATATTCAATAACGATTTATCATTTAGATGTCGTATGACTCTGAAAACTGAATTATAATTCATGATAATTTGTCTTACCAACCATATATTTAATACATATGTTCCGAGCTTTCGGCCTACTTGGCCATCCTCAGGGAAATAAAAAACATTACATATTGACAAAGAAAAACGCCATCAAACCATGGCATATGTGCGCGCGCATTAAATTAAACAAATTCGCGCGCGCTTAGGAAAAAATAAATAAAACAAATTAATTAATTGATTAAAAATAAATAAATGAATAAAATAATAATAATAATAATAAATAATAACAATAAATAAATAAATAAATAAA